AACTAAATGTAAAACCTTCTTTTATGTCGGATAGCAAAGCTGTCGGATTGTCAAGACGAAGGTCGAGATACAAGGATGGCTTGATGCTTGAAGGGTGATTTGTTGTTAATATGTATTGTTTATAGTTGTTATAATAACTAGTGTGTTGTTAGAACACTACGCATCGCTGGATTTCACAGCTAATTGACCAGAGCGCTTGTGCACGGGCCAGTCAGCTGACATCAAAGGTAAGTAAATAAGTCGGATTGTTCAGTCAGATAATACGCTGTTGTCCTTATTTGTAACATAAAATGTCATGTTGGAGTCAGAATCCAAGGCAGTCGGTGTGTTAAGGCTATTTTTTTGGGTTCCGTTCATTTTTTCTATAAACCTATCGCATAGCAAGGTTTCAGATTGTTACGAGTTGGAATGTCGAGTCACGACTGTTTATGTCCCTCATATGTAGCAACCTCCCATCTGAAATGATGAACTGTGTTACCTGTTTTTGACTAAACGACAACTATTTTGCGCTGGTCTTGTTGGAAATGTTTCCCGCAGATACTATAAATTCAAGGAGAAAACAAATCCTCAGCATGAAGGCTTTTCTTCTGTATGACTGAAACATAAAACGCGGTGTATTTGTGCATTCATCACTATTTGGAAGGCAAGAGGCACCACTGCCTGTTTTGGGCGACAATTTATGCCCAAATGCTCTCTACTGTCTCCCAAGCATACTGGAGTAGAGCACTATAAATGTGAAGGTAAAGAAATCTGATAATACCGGCAGAATCTACATATCCACGTCATTTATACATACACGTATCAGCAAAGGTTGACGGTACACCAATGGTTCTTGGTCTTATATAATTGCAAGGGCATTAGAAATCCATAATTAGACTTTAATTGCCAGAAAGAGTAACAGGAAAAAAACTGGGATTCTCTGAAAGCTTCTCATCAAGGATCTGAATGTGAAAGCATCTGTGGGTGGCACAACCCTTCCCAGGGTGAAAAGATTTTCTGTTTTGCTAAGAGGCTCCCCAACAGGCGCTGCTATAGCTCACCTGGTTGAGCTGGCGTCCCATGTACAGGGGCTACAGTCCACGACCCAGCGGTCATGGGTTTGAGTCCCGCTCATGACCCTTTGCTGCAGGTCCTTCCCCCATTCTTCTCCCACTTTCCTGTCTCCCTCTCTCTGTCCTAACCAATAAAGCCGAAAAAGGCCAAAAAAAAAAAATTAAAAAAACTAAACAAAAACAAAGATGCCCCCCACCAAAAGGGGAGACCCTAAATACATCAACGACTCTGCTTGTTGACCAGCACAAGGTTGTCCACTCTGTCCACCAGCATCTGCAGGCCCAACCTCCCACTTCCCCCTGAGATCAAGCCTCCAGAGTGACTGCAGGGGATATTTTTGGATTGCAACAACTCCAAGGGCATGCTCGTCACAATCTGGCTTTTCATGATAACAATTAAATGAGCTTCCAGATCACCACTGCTTTAACCAGCTTCTGATCAGTACACTGGCATAATATTCCATACATTTCTGTCAGTTCTTACACACTGTTGCTTCATTCTGTTTCATGTGTTTTGTGTTATGGTAGGGTTGCGTGATTTGTTCAAAATCTTGCATATATTTACATAAGTTTGCTGTCTTTCTGTTTTCCACTGGCTCACATCTCAGGTCCTAGCTCATATTGATACCTTGCTACTTAGCCGATTTATCCCATCTACAATACTTCCTTATTGAGAAGCTCTTCCTGGCAGGCCTCCTAGAGGAATTTTTCTTTTCATGTTATCATACTTTGAAGGTCTTTTGGCAGACAAATGGTTAAACTGGGTATGAATAATAATTTTAATGAACAATCCAAAAAATTCATTACCGAGCTCGTTTCATTCACCACTATACTTATTATCCCATTATCAGATTATAAAGACTGTCCATGTTTTTTGTTTTGTTTTGTTTTTTTGTCCTCATAAACATAAAAGGGTGGTCTTATTCTCAAACACATTCTGAACCCAGTGACACATTGGCCTAGAAGTCTAATTGTCATCAAACAAGACTGAAGACTCCCCTTCAGCATAATCAGTGAAGTGACCACGTTGATAATTTACTGTTTGCGCTGCTGATTGTGCATTGTGCTGGGTTTTCAAGAGGGTCAGTTTTGTGTTGACAACTCTCCGCCTCCCCACAGCAGCATATTTGCAGAGCTTTATTAGTAGGTAAAAGGAATGCGATCAACCTCTGCTGGATCTCAAAGAAAGAAAGAAAGGGCGACTATGTTTTGCTTAGAATTTCAAATCAATTAGGATGAATCACTTGAACATTCATGTGGATAAATATTACAGGTTTGGGGTCTTTTACACTTTGTCAGCTTAATGAATGAGTTCCACATTTGACAAGAAGATATGGAGAAAGACAATTACAACTTCATGTATCGTGGATTTAAGAGGGTAAGTTTCCATTATGAACGGATTCTTCAAAGCGCAATGACAATCTTTTTGTTGGGTGAACATTTAGAGGTAAATCTAACTCATGTTTCCAAAGTTCTGAAGTGGTGTGAAAAAAAAAAGTTTGAATCAACTAATCCTGTTAACAAGTTAACAGGATTAGTTGATCCTAAACTCATGTATGATGTATGATGAGCAGCAAATGTATGCATGCTTCTGAGGAAGAAAAGGAGGACATTCAAGAATGAATATAAATATGCCAACAGAGCTTCAGCTGCACTGCTGGAACTCTACCTGTTTGATGGGACATTTAATAATATGCATTCAGTTATAGAGACTTTGGGAATCAAGAGAGACATCAGTCATATTTATTTCCATCTGCCTGCGCTTTCTGTAGTTACGGTCCATCGCTAGCAGTGATAATTTGTACTTCTCATTTCTTCGGAACATGATTTTTGTGTGATTTCAATTCATTTTACATTCTAGTTAAATTAAAATATACTGTATTATTAAATTTTAACATGGGATTTCTGTGTAATGGTCCCCACAGCATTTATTTTAAAAGTCCTTGAGTTGAGATTTTCGGAGCTTGCTGGTCATAACTGAACTGTGCCATGAAATTCTCCTTCCCTTGCAGATTGTGTAGTTGGTGGCTGCATAATTATTTGCTGCTGTAGTAAATCAGATGTTAATTTTGAGCAGATTGTGACTGCAAATTGAGTAATTATCATTATTCTTTGCCTTGGCATTTTTTTTTTGTATTTTGGTGCTGTTTATTGGACAGATCATACACACACCCAGCTGGATTTCATTTGCAATTCCTGTGCATGTGATGTTTATGGATATGAAGAACTTTGGTTAAATCGGGTTCATTCTGATGAAGCCACATAAATGCACCTTTTAAAGGTTATTACCCACAGCTCAAGTACAGTTAGGTAAAGGCTTATCATAGGAGAAATGAAGAAAAGTGGTCGCATGCCAAAGTTAATCAAGCTTTCCTCAGGCATATCTAAGGACTGTGGTTGCGTATTCAGTGGCAGTTATGGGGCAGGTGAGGGGTCATCTCAGTGATTATCTTGAGAGCAAAATAAGCACTTCCCATTTTCGTCGCTGCTCCAGCTAATTGACAGTTATGCAAATACGTGTCACACTAATGACAGTACTGAGATAATTGTTAATTTATGAACTGTGTGCATGTGTGTGAGTGCACGTGTTAATATTTGTAATGGAACAACTTTCCAAGGTTTATCTGCTGTTTAAGTCCATCCATTATCTACACACCGCTTAATCCTCACTAGGGTCATGGGGGGCTGGAGTCTACCCCAGCCGACTTAAGGCAGGTTCACCTGGACATGTCACCAGTCTATCACAGGGCTACACTTAGAGACAGACAACCAAGCACACTCACATTCATAACCTACGGACAATTTAGAATCACCAATTAACCTCAACATGTTTTTGGACTGTGTGGGAGGAAGCCGGAGAACCCGGAGAGAACCCACGCTGCACGGGGAGAACATGCAAACTCCATGCAGAAAGATCCCAGGCGTCCTAACCGGGACATGAACTCGATCTTCTAGCTGTGTGGCGACAGTGCTAACCACAGAGCCACCTCGCAGCCCGCTGTTTAAGTCGTAACTGCTATTTTAAAAAAATAAAATAAAAAAAAAGTTGTGTGGCTTTGCTGTCTTCATTGTGCTGTTCTGATTCACTGTTTTTCAAGTGTTGTTGCAGTGGGTGGAGAAATAGAGAGATCATAACTGAAAAGGAAAAAAGTGTCCGTTTTGAATAAGTTTGCATACCCACAAAGAAACTACATCTTGTAAAGTGCGACTGAGTGTTCTTGAACCGAAACCATCCCCCAAAGTGCTAGCTGTTGCAATGTCATGGTGGAAAATTAGAGCATGGACAAGTACTAGCGCATGTATTCTGACAAAAACATCGCCTGAATTAAGCATAACCGAAGGCTACAAAAGGCATTTGTGCTAAACAGTGTAGCCTGGAGTGTTTGCAAGGAAACACTGTTTTCCAGTGATAGAGAAAAGCAGAAGGATGCCTCGCAAACAAACAACAGCTTATACAGTTGATGAGTGTAAGTCTAATTTTTAAAGAAGGAGAATCCTCGCAGCGCTCCTTAAGTCTGACAGCCAAAATAATTTATTGTTAATGCCTGAATTTGTGGCATGCCTTTGACCACAAGACATTTTAATTAGTTGACACATTTACAGCCGAACCATATCGCTCTATGTTTTGTACCTCATTAAAATGTTTAACTTTTTACAGCTGCTTTGTTTTTTTTCCTTAGCTGGAATTACATCACGTTATTGTTCTGTGCATCTGCAAGAAATAACGGTTTGTTTCTGCGACAAGAATTGCAATGTTGCCTTCAAACAGATGTTAATGCATGCGAGGCGTCGCGATAAATCACTCACCTGCAAGTTACTCGAACACACACCTTGCTCATGCTCCTGACACTCCTGCTTTACTTATAATGCTACAAAATGAGGTAATGAGGTTACAAAAGGAAGGGGAAAAAAAAGAAGGTAAAGAAGCGGAACAAAATCACTACTTACTTCTTCTTTTGCCAACATCTCCCTTGGAGGTGGCAGCTTCGTTGAGCAGCACCATCCCCATGGTGATTGCAGCATCTGGGGCAAGGTTGTCAAGGAAACTGCACACTTACATACAAGACAGGAGGTCGCTGGAGGTACACACTGACCCAGGAAAAACTGGACACGCACTTACATAAAAGCACATATGCACACATGTGCATAGCGGCACTCGAGCAGATTAGCGACAGTCAAGGATGTGGACGAATCGCAGGAAAACATGTCCGGTGCAGAGCAATCAAGTGCAATTACTCTAAAACACATTTGATACAAATGCACAACCTTCGTGTTTTCTTGAGATTGTGTCAGAAGTTAATAAAAATGCTAATTCTGAAGACCGTAGGTAATAGTTTATTGCGTTATTACATTCACCAAGGAGGTTACACTTTCCGTGTGGAGAGAAGAAACCATTAAATTTTGGTGCAGATTTTTTAACTAGTTTAGGAGACTGGACTATTGGCCTCGGTGGAGGTCTGTGCTTTCTCAGTTTATTGTAATATTATATACGGTGACAGAAAACTAAAAGATAAACAGGGAGTGTCACTCGCCACGGAGAAAGACTGTTTTCAAATGTGTAACAGAAAATGTGTTTTTTTTTTTGTTCAAGGGCAATAAATCATGTAGAATTACACTGTAGCAGAAAGCCAACAACATTTTAATTGAAACTACTGAATCAAATCTGCAGAGGTACATTCCAGAGGTGCCAGAGGTGAAATCTTCAGATTTAATATTCAATCATTTCTTCAAAACCTCACACAGATTTGTGATACCGGGTCAAACATAAACGACCAAAAAACATATTGGCGCACATAAACACAAACACACGCCACGTAAAGTTGACACAGCCTTGATTGAATATGCAAAATAAACACTAATTTTCATACTTTCAGTGGGTAAAAAAAAAAGAGACATTTTGTTATTTATTTAGTTTTTTTTCCCCCTGTAGCCAGCAGCAATTAATATTCCAGAGACATCAGAAGGAACTGCTACTTCTTGGTCTATTATACACAGAAAACCTCCTGAGTTTTGGGGGAAAAAAAATGTTTTACTGTTATTACTTTGTGAGTGTATAAACAAGGTACATGCATAACTCTTCCACCACCAGGAGCTTTGCTTACAATCAAGCGTCATGGCTTGAATAATAACATTTAATCTTTAACATCAATGCAACTTTTATATTTTAAAGTTATTTTGAGTTGATTTCTTTAAGCAAATGAGCTATGAATAGTGGAACACCCTGACTCTTCTTAATGCCTGAAGCTATGTGGCCATGATAACTGTGCCAGGGAAAAAAAGAACAACGAATAAGCGGCTGCAAAAAAAAAAAAAAAAAGGCAAAACTGCAATAATTATTCTTTTAAAGTAACAAGTAAACAAGAGTGGAAATCTGTTTACTAAAAAACACATGGTATTTGTTGTTGAATAGTCTTTGCTTCGGTAGAAAAATGAAGCATAAACTGTGATGCCACCACAATAGAGCACAGTTTTAGAAAGATAAAACGACATAATCCTGAATGAGCTAATGCTGAATGTTGTTGACGAGGAGATTAAAAAGTAATTGCCGCAAAGATGAAAATCATACTGCCAATCAGCCAAGATTTTGCGATGAAGTAACTGTGAGACCTGTTCTGCTCATTCTGACTTATCTATTAACTGCTCGCACTTCTTCTGTGGTGATTATTTCTGTTATTCTACTAACGGTGTTAGTGAGGACTTGTTGAAACAATAAACATTTAATAGTGAACAATGCGTATCATAATGCAAACATCCATATCTCGCGGAATATTTAACTGAGCTGTTGTGAAATCACTGCATCCTCACATAGCTTAGTGTCTAATTACCGATTCTTCTCTTCAGCACGCTCTGCATACAAATTCGCACAACTGAACAAAACCTGATGGGGTGCACAAACAAAGAGTGCCACATGGGAGGACGCGGAACAGAAACGGAGGCGTCCTCTTGACGATACGGTAAAAGACACGATACGCTGATGTGACACTAAAGGAAGGAACGTCTTCGCTCACGCAGCGGTGGAGGTGAACCCTGGGTGGCTGCTGCAGTGTGATACTAAAGTCCCGTTAACAAATGGAGACCTATCAGTGTATAGGTAGGACACCAGCTGCTATACTCGCTGAAATCTAAAGCAGGGACCCACTGACTATGAAGCATTCTCTTCATTTGAGTACAATGCTGTAACCTTGAACTATCAGCCGCCACTATTGACGATAACGATCTACAGAAGGCCAGAACTCTTCCCTGCTGATTCTTTGGCTGAATTCTCTGAATTTCTCACATGTATTCACACTAGATACGATGGTTCAGCTATAATTGGTGATTTTTTAATAATGCATGTTGGTAATAAAGACAGACAACAAAGACAAGGACTTTTTAAATGTATTACAGCGTGTTAATGAAACCAACTGATGATCTAGATCAGTGGTCCCCAACCTTGTTTAAACCATGGACCGGTTTTAAGCAAGAACATTTTCTACGGACTGGTCATCGCGCATGTAACAAAAAATGATAGTTTTTTCTATTAAAAAGTTTCCTAAATGATTCAAATTACTTGCTAAATATGTGTTTACTTTTTCTTCCGTCTCAGTATCGAGTCCCTCCCACTTTCCAAAGAAGCTCTCCTGAGATGTTTGTTTGTTAAATGTATTTCGGCGGCGGTTAGACTGACGGCTTCGTTTAATGGCCGGGCATGAAAACTAATAAGAGTCAAGTGCGAGAAACAAGCACAGATGGATGTGACAGGAAGACGAGCTAGTCATTTTTCAAAATAAAACACCCTGCAGACTCAACTGGAAATAAAAATAAACCAATAAAATGCTTTATTTTTCTTTCTGTGTGGCCTGGTACCAAATGACCCACAGCCTGGTACCGGTCCGCAGCCCGGTGGTCGGGGACCGCTGATCTAGATCACACTTTGGACTTTTAAATAGGCTCAACATAAATCTTTCTTATGTCATTGACACAGCCCTATATGGCCACCACTGTGTATTTGTTTTTTGTACACAGCCAAATCCAATAGAGAAAGTGGTGAAAAAGCAGTTTTAGCCTATAAGGAACGTCAGATTTCTTTCCACAGAAACCAGATTATATCTACTCCCTCCTAAATGCTTTACCAGTACGCCTATTACAAGCCTTAATGCTGTTGCACCACTTAAAAAAGGCAAACAACTACAAAGTCATGAAACCACTAAATTAAAGAGGAACAGTCATATAGCAGAGTGCAAATAGCACACATGTGCATAAAAACAATTTATCAATAAAAAACATACATTGATAAATAGTGCTTGTAGTAAAGCGATCCAGACCACTGGGAGATGTTATTTTTCTAACCTGATAAATTACATAAGCAACCTCAGAGTGCCTTTTACCACCACTGACCATCTTATTAGCGCCGTTACAGACCATAGCAACCAACTCAGGGCCTCTAAATGTGATTTGCGCACCACTTCAAAGAGAAGACAGCCAACATCAGGTCTAGTATCTGTCAACCCCACCATGCCCTCAGAGCTGAAACACCCAGCGTACAGGGTGAGGCCCTGCTGGACAGTTTTAGCCTGGAGTCCTCTACATGCACCCTTGACCGAATCCCAACCTCCTTTAAAAAAAAAATTAATTCTGTGAGCAAGTATGTTTTTTAGTCTCTTGATAAAACACATTCTGCAGAGCTTTACTTGTGAAGCCTCTTGTTGAAAAAAAAAGGTAGCCTTGATCCCTCGATGCCCAGCAACCAAGACAACAGAGACATCATCAGACGACACATCAGCTCTTTCCATAGCTATGCCGATGACACACAACTTTAAATGGCAATGTCATTTTGGAGATAAAAGATCATTTGGTTACATTTTTTAAAAAAATATTAATGTCTGGACTTCACTAAATATGTCACAGCTCAACTAGGATAAAACTTCTTTTTTGTTACAGGTTCTGAGGCTCACAGTAACATGAGTCACAAACTGAAATAGTCTTCGATTCACAATGAAACCCACAAGCAAGAATCCTTTGTGAGACACACATCTGAACTTTAAGTCTCCTGAAAGGGAGTTTGTCTCCAAATCTACCTTTTATTACCTCAAAAACATTACCAAAGTGCAACCATTTCTTTCTTTGAGTGACACAGAGAATCCCATGCACACAGGCTTGACTACTGTAATTCTCTGCTATCTGTTCTACCCAAAATTGTTCAAAATCACCTACAGCAGAGTCAGAACTCTGCAGCCGGAGCCCTCACCGAGACGACAAGGAGAGAACACATTCCGCTTTCTTTCAAGTCCTTCCATTGGCAGCCTGTCAATGTACAAACTAATTGGAAATTCTTTTTTTCTTGTTTTTAAAGAACTTCATGGTCTTGCGCTGGGATATACTGTATTTCTGGCATGCTCACAGTGTATGAACCATTACGGCCCCACAGGTACTCTATTGATGTTCCTTATGTGCTGGGCTAAAACCTTCAGTGAGGCAACTTTTTTGCTTTTATGCTCCAAGCCGCCGGAACATTCTGTTTGCGGACCTGAGAGCAGCTGTTAAAATCTTTAAATGTAAACTTGAAGCTTCGCTGTTAAACCTGGCTTTTGATTGCGTCTGGTCGATCGACATTACTTACATTGGATTTAAAACTAGTCGTTTATTACGTGTAAATGTTTTGTCTTATTTCATCTAGTTTTTGTTTTCATCAGGGATGTGTGAAACCCCAAACAGACCAGAGTTAAACACAAGCGATGCAATTTACTCTACAGTAGCGGGCTGATTTAGCAGTATTACGGAGAGTGCGGCTGCAGGGTGATAATTTCCATTTTGTCTTCATCAGTGGGGATTTTCACCCAAGAATTCATTGATCCTGTCCCATTTCATTATAACTGAAGGAACACATAATACCACTAGGAACAATCACACAGTGATTGATAAACAACAATTTGGGCATTGATTAAAAAAAAAACAAGCCCATGAAAGACATATCAATCAAATTTTGTAGAATGATCTTAGCTGGAGCTGGATAGCGGGACCTGTCCACGTGTGTGCTTCTATTTTGGTTTCTGGTAAAGTTATTCAAGTGCATGTTATACCTGCGAATGTGCATGTCCACGCATTAGAAATTAAAGTTGCATCGATGCAGAAACTGCCTCGATGATGCTCATAAAATATTTCTTCCACCACCTGCAAAGACAACACGGGTAGATGTTTTGCGCAGGTGTGTGTGTGTTTCATTTAGATGTAATCAGATGGGCAATAAAAAGAAAGAAAGAAAGAAAAAAAAAACTGCATGAGCACGGACAAACAAATATTGCTCGGCAGCAGGTGCGACCTTGGACCCTCTATTTCCTATGGGGATGAATACAACAGCTAGGAATGAACAGTATCATTACCCACACACATACAAAGGCACCGGTGCAAGTACACATGGGTATACAAGCAGACAGAGAAGTAGACAAATACAAACAGAAAAATCTAGCCTGCCAAATAAGTCCGCAAGCAAACACACACACAGGCAGGCAGAACCCATCATGAGGGGTTGAATTTGGCACAAATCAGGCAAGGAGGAGAAGTTAAAAGAGGACAATCTCTTGTGTTTGTATTGTCTATTTGTTCAGTCCAACACGCAGCCTCCTTATCCAGAATGCACACAGATGACAACGCTTTGGTGCTGGGTAAATAAATGTAAAATAAAAGCAGAATTGGATGCCATTCTAGGCGTAATAAAGGTGGACTCCGATGTGCTGTGTGTGTGTGTGTGTGTCAGGCAAACGGCGAATTAAAGGAGTTTGTTGCCAAGATGAGCATGTTGGACACTTCACAGTGAGTTAAATTGCTCTGGATGATTAGTATTTTTGCAACACATAAAAACACAAACACAAACAAGTTGATGAAAGGATACTCAGAAGGAGGATGATGTGAGACTCCGCCACAAACTGCGCCTGGCTGCTGCCGTGAATATAACTCTGTGGGAAAGAGGGAAGAAAGAGGCGCATTAGTTCAGCGTTGTTCTTTTCAAATGACAACTCAGTCAGTGAAATTGCTAAAACGAAGAAGTAAAGGGTCAGAGTGGGAATTTTGTACAGGACTATTTTTTTTTCTTGTGTGTGTGTGTTACGCAATGCTGTTTGTATTTTCTCAGCACTTCATAGAGAAAGGCTGAACTGTATTATGATACAGTATGGTATTATGTAATAGACCGCCACTGGTTGGGACTAAAGTCAGACTCACTTCTCCCTCAGCTGTGGCTGTTCGGGCATAAGTCTGTGAAACTAGAGAAAATGGTTCAGCGGCTCTGTCTCTCTCTCGCCACTGCTGTCAAGATGTAGGCTAGCTCTGATTATGACGTAAGCTTTGGGGTGATACAGATGTAACTGTGATTTTGGCTCTAGCAATGACTGTACTTTGGTCGTCACGTACAGACTACAGGCAACAGTTGTGTGCGTGCAGTCATGATTGTGCTGTAGTGACGCACAATATTAAAATTTCTGGCCGATACCGATATTCAGATTTCTGATATCGCCGATAACCGATGTTACCAATGTCGATATTCAGTTTTTGTTCACACCAAAAAATGAGTATAAGTGAGCACTGTGAGAATGTGAAAACTATTCAGAAGAAGCCCAAATTAGGCCACATAGTCTAACAGAAGTAAAACATATTTAAACATATTTAACGTTCAAATCCAGGACCATTTATGTAAAAACATCTGTGTAATAGCAGAAATATCAAATGTAGAGACGAAGGGGCTAATGTTAGACAATCATCGGTTTTTCACATCCCCTAAATTTGTTCATCGGACCGATACCGATATATCGGAAAAATACTAATATCAGCCGATACCGATGTGGTCGCTGATATATCGTGCATCCCTATTGTGTTGGTTGGTCACATATTGGTCATAGAAGCACAGCAGGTTCAAGTTGTGGTCCAGCGTGACATATTCACAGCACCACAGATGGGAAGTTACAACAAAACGGCCACAGCTTCACCCGTCAAAAGGCAGACAGAACAGCAGCAGCCGTATACTGCCGTCTGCCTTTCGTCTCTCCTTTCTCTACCATCTGCAGCGCGTTATAGCTGAAAGCTTATTATAGCTGGGCTGGACGGACACCTTCACATGGACCAGAAGTTACTGCAATGTAACCCAAATCTCACTGCAAGCTAATGCAAAAAAAAAAAAAGATTCTCCACTGTGACCTTTCAATGGCTTCGTAGTCTGGAGGGTTGAGGTAAAAAAAATGAATAAAGAACTTGGATAGGAAGATCTTTTGTGACCAAAGTCTGTATTGTTCATAAAGTTAGAAAGAGAGGGAAAGAAAATGAAACAAAACAACAAAAAAGCACAACCTCTTTGATCTCTTTAACTTCTCAGCTCTATCAACTCTATTGGGTCCCATGCCAAGGAAGAAACTCGTTATGGCTTATGAACCTAAATGGTACCACACATCCCTTTATCTTTTAAGTGCAATAACTGACCCTGTAATATAAGGGTGTGCAGCATGTGTGCAGCCGACCAGCTTAAGACCGGATGAATGTTTTGCGCACGTGTGTTGTGAGTCACGAAGAATTATCCCATGTAGTGTGTAGGTGTATAGAGGGTCCAATTTTTCACTCAGTGAGCAGGAAGGTCAACCTGCACCACACACACACACACACACACACACACACACACACACACACACACACACACACACAGAGAAGATGGTAATAACTTGCTTTCAAAGGCCAACCTCTAAGGTAGTCTCCCACCACAGCCTTCTGTACAAAACGACATTCATGCTGCTTTCAGAATGCAAAAATAGCACACCAAGTCCGCTAAAAAATTCAGAATATTATTTAGAGATTCCCTTTCATTCAACAGCAATTGGTATTGTCGCAGTTAATTGTAATTTTTTGGTTGGTAGCCAATTCCCAAGAGCCAGTCTGAGGGCAGAGTGGAGGAACAAGAGAAGAGAGGTGCATCCTTTTTTTTGTTATAGCTGTGGGCCTGATTAAAACATTTTTCATCAGAACCACGTACAAGTGAAATTCCTAAGTGGTCAAGGCCCATCATGAGTCATACATAGACAGTCTCTACATGGGAAAAAGAAAACACTAATAAAACGATGATATTTAACAAATCAGCAGATCTCATCAGCCTGCACCTCCTCGTGAACAGATGGCATTCATCCGCTGCAACGGGCGATTCGTAACAACTTTGTGCACTCACGTCTCTGACTTTGAACGTTAATACAAGCAAAGCTGACAGAAATACAGAAGAAAGACTTAGGGTGGGAATACAAAAAATGCTCTTGCATGAAGTGAATAATACATCTCTTCCCAGCGGTATTAGCTATTACCAGTGTGTGTTTGTTCAGCTAAATTAACAACAAACTATGTCAAGCTCAGTCCACAGTTGTTGACATGAGGCGAGGATCAGAGTGTGACGGTTCGACCGTGCAGTCACATGTACGACACAGCGGGGGAATTAGCAGAGGCACGGTGGCGACTGGCCAAGCTCACCGGGGTTTCTGGTGAGGCCTGATTCTCTTTTTTGTTTCACTAGCAACCAAAGTTATTTTGCTTATTGCCTGTCTGTAGCCGGAACAGCCATAAATCTTCATAGAAAAAAATCATGTCGTCCTAAAACAGCTACAGAAGAATTACCTGACAGTACAAGAAGAACAAACATGACCGGAATCACATATAACAAATACATTCCTTGATACGGGTACCTCAAGGCTTCTCCACCGCTTGATGTTTTTTTTTTTTGCAGGGACTGATGATGCAACTACAGTGCATACTCTGTCGAGATTCACTAAAGACTAAAGTCTCCCACACACCACAATGCTCAGGACTCGAGCTCTGCACGAGCAAGCTTCTCTGATAAGATGTCAGAGGCTTGATTTGACTGACGTCTGTCTGTCTGTAAGCGATGAGGAGAGGCAGAAAGCCAGACAAAGAAAGACAAAGTGAAAGTCTTGTGGAAATGACACAAACAGAAGAGGAGCGGGAGGAAGAAGTCTTTCAATTGCGCTTCACATTGTTGAATCCTTGCAGATTATTAGCATCTAGGTTTACGGCACATCTCGCGTCTGCCTTTCCACTTGACTGGCATAGTGTTCATTTCTTTCCCTATCATACAAGGATAAGGATGGAAAGATGAATAGGAGATGACAAAGGAGGTGGAGTAAAGGGTGGACAGCTTTTTCTTGCTTCAGTGGAGAGAAATGAAGAATTTTTGCACTTGAAAGCAGACTAAAAGACGACGAAGGCTCATGGCTGAAACTGATCCTTTTGTTTCCAACAAAAAAACCTGTTATTCTGCATTAGCTGGGGATTTTAAAATTGTTATCAAGATACTTTCGTTATCGACGGACAAACCAAAGCTCCTTTATGAGTATAATGGAAAAGGGTTGCTTTGGCCGCGCTTTATTTAGAAATCGATGAGAGCTTGTTTCTTGCATTGCTAATCACTGCATTAGTAATGGAAAGCGCTACTCTGCTGTCGAAGAATTTCTCTTCAAATTGTAAACAGGGTCATTTTAATAATAATATGATAATAGTCTTAATATATCAAAAAGCTACTTTAGTTCCAGTTCAAGTTAAAAAAAAAAAAAAAAAGGTAAGGACATTTGCTGGTGCAAACAAATGTGGAAAACAAACCAAAAAAACTAAATCACACAAAGTTTGCTTGTATAATTTTGCAATTTCATGACAGAATTATTCGTGTTATTTGGTTAAACAACACGGTGAAGCATTATGGTAAATGAGCGATACTTCTGCATTAAGATTTGTCGGTTAAAAATGTTGAAAATCGAACTTAGGTGGGTGTTTTTCAGGTGCTCCTTAACACTTCGCTGCAGCAGAGTTACCAATTTATAAAGGGACACTGACTAATCCCAGAGCATGCAAATACTACTGTTCTACAAACAGCATCATGTAGCTTTTTGGAGGTGGACAAGATCTTAGAAACAACTCTTCTTGTAAGAGTCAGCAGCAGCAACAACAACAGTAATTTACAAGAAAGTGCGACTTTGGTAATGTGCATAGACTGTATAAAAGATGGACGTAGCAACCGGCCCTGAAAAATGAAGCCAACCCGGAAGTGTCAAAAACCTGCAACATCACTACATCCACTAGCTGCTGGCTCCAAAAAGCCCTGGCTCCCATAGACTTGAATTGGAAAAGAAGTGATCACAGATCACCAAATACCGCATTCCTACAGCTCAGGAGTTTTTTCTTATTAGTTTTCATAGTCAAATCCAGAGATCAGGTGGCCAATCTGAAAATAAATCAATACTGAATTTTTAAAAAAATCGTCAAAATTTTGCGGGGCAAGGGGCGTGGCTCGCCTGATTGACAGTCAGCAGCGACGATGCAGATGAAGCGAGCAGAAGGCGGTAAATGTGGGCGGGCAGAGAGGACCCGCCTCTCAATCCGTCTGACCAATCGCTGCTCCTATGGCTCCGCCCCCCTCCGACGATTTTTGCGTCACTGGCTCCAAAAATCCAAGATGTCAACCAGGAAGTAGCAAAACCCTGGCTTCATTTTCTCAGTGCAGAAACCAACGGGTGACGTCACGGTAGCTACGTCCATCTTTTATACAGTCTATGGTAATGTGTGACTCAAAAACTATAGTTAAATAGAGTTGAAGTGAATGTGAAATGGTTTAAAAATGGATTGGAACAGACTAGATGTGCATTATTATTATTATTATTAAGGTGGACCTTATACATACTAGCACTCTTGCTACATTGTGGTGTTCTGCCCATTATTCATGGCACAAGTGAAAAATCCACACAAACAGGCCTATTGTAGAGATTTAGTTGAAAATCATTGTGAATAATCTAAAATAAACGATCACGTAAATGGGCTGCAGATGAGCCGAGATGTTTAATGTCCTCACCGTAGTTGATCCAGACTCAAAGAGGGCGTCTTTGTCTAATAACTATATAACTGTAAATGAAAAAAAAATAATGTA